AAATATATATGCCAGCCAGCCATCGCCCTTGTATACAGTGTGTGTATCTAATTGTACGGCGCCATCATTATTTCTGTATCCATCATTATCATCCATCGTTGTTGTCGAAAAAAAACATTCTGCTGTGGTGGTATAGTGTGTTTGTTTGCAAACAAAACAAAATATACAATGTACATACACAGTGTGTCTATCTGTTTGCAACTTTTACTTTTTTTCGTTGTTGTTGTTGTTGTTGGTTGATTGATTGAAATTCAGAGAAAAGAAAAACGTCATAATGATGATGATGATGACGGAATTTTTGAATTTGAAATTATTATTATTATTATTTTTTTTTTTTGGAATTTTTAGCTACAATTTAAAAAATCGTGACATGCGCAGTAGCGATTTGACAGAAAAAACGTAATAGTAACGTATCGAAATTCTATGAAAAATGTATCTGATAATTTTCGAATTGATCACTGTGGATCGTCGTAATTGTTTCGTTTCGTTTTTTCAATGACAATTATGACGACAATAACGACGACGACGAAAACGACGATTTATCGTAAATTACCTTATTAATGAATCGATTTTTTTGTTTTTTGTGATCGATTTCTTTGTCGATATGATATGAAATCAATCGATTTGTAATCGATTTGTTGTTGTTGTTGTTGATTTTTTGGTTGAATAATCAACAACAACAACAAAGATTTTGTGTTAACAACTACCACGACGACTAAAAAGAAGTGAAAAAACATCCAAAAGACATTATTGGCAATGTTGCGGGGGTGTTTTGTTATTTCAATTACGGAGGAGAAAAATTGAAAAAATTTCATCAAAATAAAATAAAATCTTATTTAACCTTTCTCACGATCAAAAAATGATGAAATCAACATTATGGAATGATGAGGATTTTGTTTGTTTGTTTGCTGTTTGTCATCGTGATGATCATTAAATTTTTAATTTTCAAAAATGAAAAAAATAATAATAAAAATGAATGCGTGGGTGCTGAACAACAACAACAACAACCATAACCGAAACAAACAGCAAACAAACAAGAACAGTTTTGGATGCATTGATTGGAATTTAGCCTTGTAATTTTGAAAGAAAACTAATTTTAAAATAAAAAAAATGTTACATCATGTGAATCAGGGCAAATCCTTTCAGAGAATTTTCAACTCTTTCGATTTTTTTTCAGATCAAAAAAATCAGCGAAAATCAATCAAACGAAAACCGGAAGATTTATTATATGATGGTGACCTAGATATTGATCTATCATCGGAAAATCAATCTTTGAAATCGTGAATTGAAACAAGAAACTTTATTTTTCTGTGTTTGATTACCCAGAAATCCAGACAATCTCTTCAATGTCAAATTGAAGTGAACATTTTGTATTGTTGTTTTTTTTCTTCTGTCACTACCATCACCATCACTATCATTATTCGAGAATTATATAGAAGAAAAATGACAAATCAAACATTGAAATTCATTGTTTTATTTTGTTATTTGGTTTCGAATGGAATCTCTAATTTTATATTTTTATAACGGTAGGAAACCAACAAAGCAAAACAATGTACAAACAAACAACATTGAATCGAATGAATGAACAAACACAGAGAGAGAGAGAATCTGAATGAAATGAATTCGTTTGTTTGTGGCTTGTTTGTTCTATTACTGACAATGTACGTTTGGCTGTATGTTAATTATTATTATTATTTTGGGGAAGCGAAAAAATTCAAGGTTATCAAACATTGCATATATATCTCAGGTGTATGTAATTAGTTAGTATCAGAATCAGATTAGTGGGGGAAAACAAATGGTCTATTTCCACGTGTGTGTATGGCACGCGTAAACAAAAAAATTCTTTGTGGGTTAAAATAGAAATTTTCTTACCTTTGTTGATTTGATTTAGTTGATGGAAAAAATCACTAAAACATCACACACATGAACTGCACTGCTTTTAATGAAATTTTCATTGGAAAATTAGGTTTCTTTCGCTGTTTTTCGAATGGTAATCAAAAACTCTCTTGTCAATCGATCTGATTGATTGATTGATTGATTTTTCATCTAAAACTCACCAGAAAAAAACAAAAAATCTTAAATGTTTGTTTCTTTGGATTTTTTGTTTTTGTTGTTGTTGGTTTAGGATTTCTGATTGGATTTTCCTTTTTCTTTCCTGCTAGTTGTATATGGATTGATTGTGGTTGTTGTTGACAACAACAAATCCAATTTGATTTGATAATCAACAAATGTTTGCTTGTTTTGATTTGATTTGTTTGTTTGTTCATTCAATGGAAATTGAAATAGAATCCATATGGATTGTGCACAATGTTTAGTGACTCTGAGTTATTTAGTGCCTCTTCCCCTTTCTCGTTTTTCTCTAGCCATTTTTGAAATTTTTTTTTGGCATCCAAATGGCGACAGAAGAATTCATGCAACAAACAAACAAACAAACAAACAAATGTCAAATGTCACAGAAAATGTAACAGAGAGAGAATTTTAAATCAAAAAAAATTTTGTTGTTTTGATTTCTTAATTTCCTTAAATGATGATTAAGATGATGGAAAATGAAGAAGAAGAAGGAGAAACAAATTAAGAAGATTATTTCACATAGTGATCTTATCTCTTTGTGTGTGTGTGTATTGTGTGTATTTTGAGATTTACAGATTTTTAATATAATGTTTGGCTGGCTGGCTGGCTGTTTGGTTTGGCTTGTTTTTGATTTGGATTTGATTTAAAGTTGGTGGTAGTATTACTGTAGTTTTTTGTAGTTTTGGTTTCGAAAAAAAAGATATCGGATATCAAAAAACATTGAATGAAGAAAAATGCATTGAGATATTAATCTTACTTTCTCTTAGTAGAAAATCTTTTGGAAAAACAAAAAGCATCAGCATGGTTTTTTTTTTGTTTTTGAACCACCCATATTACTACATTAGGGTTAATTATAAATGAAAAGAATTGAAACAACATTTGTTTTGGAGATTTTAATCTTGAAATCTAGATTTGACAAAAAAATTTTTTTTTCCTCGAAAATTCAAAAATGTGGCCTGAATTTTTGTTTGTTTCAAGGTTGCTGATTTGTTGTTGATGAAATATTATCTCAACCAACAAGCAAAACAAAATGAATTAAAAGAAAGGCAATATTGTTTATCATCGATTGATTGATTGATATTCGAATCAATCAATCCTTTCCTTTTCATTTCATTTCCTAATTCACCATCCAAAAACACATTTGATAACAGAAAATATTTTGAAGAAAAAAAACAGAAAATCCATAAACAACAACAACCACTGTATCAAATTTGCTACTTTTACTGCAGCCAAACATCCATTCATCCATTCAGTCAGTCAGTCAGTCGGTTGGGAAAAAAATGTATTTTATTTTCCTAATGGGAAACAAAAATGATTAAAGATTTTTTTGATTAATTGAATTAAGAGAAACTTTTCTGGAAGGAAAATTTTTCTTTCAGCCAAATGCCTTTCGTATACCTTTAGGCTTCTTCTTCTTCCTCGATTGATTGATTGATTGATTGAATGTTGACTGACATTGACAACTGAATGAAATCTTTCTTTTTTTCAATGTTTCGTTTCGCAATTCATTGTTTTTCGTTGTTGTTTCGTCGTTGTTTGATGTGAATGAAAACTATTTTTCAAGTTCAAAAACAAAAACAACGAAAAAATAGAAAATTAAATTAATTAATTCAAGTCATTAAGAATGGCCATGATTTTAATTCAATTACAATGTAATAAAATAAAAGAAAGAAGAAGTAATCTTTATAATTTCAAAGAAATTTTCCAGGAATTTTCCCAACTATAACGAGAGTGAGAGAAGGGGGAAAAGTTTCCTGGGAAAACAAAATTCTTTGAAGAACAAAGAAAGAATTCTTTCACAAAAAAATGTCGAGATTCTAAAAATGGAAACCACAGCCGAAACTGCAAATTCCTGATTCAATTCATCAAAGAAAAATTCTTTGAAATCAAACCAAAGAGAGAGGTAATTATCCATAAACAAAAACAAAGAAAATTCATTGAAGTGAAAAGAAAAATGAAAAATTAGTTCAAGAAAAACAATACACCCTGTACACACGAATCAAGGGAAAAAGAAAGATTTTTCATTTTAAAATTTAAAAAAAAAATTTCAATTTTATTTTTGGCTGCCTGGCTGGTTTGTTTGTAATCAAGATTTTTTTTTGTTACGATTGTTTATTGACAACCTAATGATGATGATGACCTGGTTTCGTTTCATTTTTCTGTTTGTCTTCCTGGAAAAATTCTCGTCATAAACGAAAAACGAAAAACAAAAATTCTATTCGGTTACAATTCTCGAAAAGGAAAGAAATGTTCCCGTAAAAGTAATAAAAACAATGATTACCATTATCATATTGCACCATCACCACCGAAAAATATAAAAATAACCGTTAATAACCGACGTGCCCCAGAGAGAATATTCTCTTCTCTTCTGTCCTGAATCTTCTTTCATTCATTCAATAGTTTTATGTCATTTTGTTTGCTGTAAAATTGGTTACATTTTTTATAGTTTTCAGTTCGAGGGAAAAGAGAAAATGATTATTACCATAATAATAATAACCGGATGGGCGCCATCAAATCATTTTGGGCGTAGTAAATGTTAAATTTATTCGCCACGCTTCTTGCAAAAGTTAGTTTTGGTTTTTTTCCAAAATGATCCAATTGAAAAAACGTTTGTTATCTGCAGAGAGAGAATGCTTTTCTGGTAAAAAGGATTAGTGATTAAGCAGAGAAAAAATTTTGTTTCTGGGAAAAATTTTCCAGGGAAAAATATTTCTCGGGAAATTTTCCTCATTGAAAATGGCCTAAACCTTGATCCACATCGATCATCCTTGATCAATAGGAAATTGATTCAATGTTTAATCATTGATCATCATCATGAAAATCAATGAAAAATGACCTCAAACACACATCATTTGATAATCGAGGGTTAAATTTTTTGGATATAAAAAAAGCTTTGATCGCTCGATCGATCATTATCGATCGATATCGATAGATTTAAAAAATGAAATCCTCAGCAGTCGTCATCGCCATCTTTCTTATCTGTTTTGGTTCCCGAATAATCGATAGTATCGATACTGTTACATATCCTGGTTATGGTACATTTACAAGTAATGATTTTAAACATCCAATATATCGACCGATTGTTTTTGTTCCTGAATCACCCGATAAAATCGGACCATTATTTTTACTTTATACACGTCAAAATAATGAATCACAACGATTAGATTTGAACGATACCCGGCTACAGCTGGAACAAGCTGGTTTTAACCCAAAAAATCCAACATGGATTCTAATACATGGTTTTAATTTTCATTCATTAAAACCATGGATGAATATTTGTAAAGATCGGCTATTAAAATCATCAGATTTTAATGTTATTTTAGTTGATTCAAGACATTCGGAAAAAGGTGTATCATATCCACGTGCTGTATCCAATATTCGTATTGTTGGTATTATGATCGGGAAACTTATTGAACAAATTTCCCAGGAATTTTCCAATGATAATCCCGGAACATTTACATTGGTTGGACATTCATTGGGTGCACATATTGCTGGTTATGCTGGAAAATATTTGAATGGAACTATCGATAGAATTTATGGCCTTGATCCAGCTGGACCATTTTTTAAAAATCATCCTGACCATCGATCAAGATTATGGCATACAGATGCTCAATTTGTATTCAATTTACATACAAATGGTGGTTCAATATTTAAATTATCATCAGGTATGATGGATACTTGTGGTCATGTGGATCTTTTTATGAATAATGGTCATCAACAACCTGGTTGTCCGAAGGAAATTCAAAAGTAAGTTTTTCGGAGGGGAAAAAAATGTTTCCCGGGAAAATTCTCATCCATTATTCTATCCAATCAGTGATTTAACATTCAATTCCTGTCATCATCGTCGTGCATTATGGTTAATGATTGAAGCCATAACACCTGATAATGATCAGCAACCAAAACCAATTGGTTATGATTGTGATTCATGGCAATCATTTGAACAAGGTGAATGTATCAGGGATTGTAATGCTGATCCATTCAATTGCGTAAGACTAGATCCATTGAACGATGGCCGAAATCAATCGATTGAAAAGAATTTATTATTAAATTCAATTACAACCGGTCGTCGTTATTTTATGGTCACTGGAAATGAAGAGAAATTTTTCCGTAATTATTCATTTTGAATTGATTTTTTTCCCGGAAAATTTCTCTAATTCGATTCATTCATTACCTAGGTTATCAATATTTAATCAAATTCAATATGAAATATGGTTCAAATCAATTTTCCGGTTTGGATCCTGTTTTACGTCGTATAACATTACGTATAAGAAATCCAAAAAATGATCGTTATGAATATATTGATTTGACTGATTGGTCACAACCATATGTCGATATTGGTAAAAGTTATGCAATATCATTATACAGTACTCTTGAAATGATGAAAAATAATCTGGAAATCCGATGGGAACGTTTTCTTTGGTTTAAACGTCAACGTATGTTTATCAATAGTATTACTATTACAAGTTTATCTTGTAAAAAGTAAGTTTGGTTTGGCTGTTTTTGATTATGATTTTATAATTCTGGTCTTTTGTTGCTGTTTATTTTAGCTGTGTTTGGCCAACACCGACACAAATCGAAATGATACCGGTATCCAATGGAAATGATACAACTAATAATGGTATTATTAATGATGAATGGACAACATTTCGATTGATTTGATTTGATTGATTTGTAATTTGAAATTTTTTTTTGAATTTAAAAAAAAAATTTTCAATTTTTTTAAAACTGTGTTTCATAGCTGAGTTAGGTTAGGTTGATGACTGTGACTGTGATTCATAGTTAAGTGAGGTTAGGTTGATGACTATGCCTATGACTGTGATTCATAGTCAAGTGAGGTTAGGTTGATGACTATGACTATGACTATGACTGTGATTCACAGTTGAGTGAGGTTAGGTTGATGACTGTGACTATGCCTATGATTCAAAGTGGAGTTAGGTTAGGTTCACGAAAAAATTTTCAAAATTCAAAAATATTTATAAACCCAAAAGATGGCAGTACATGGATCAAAAAAAAAACAAAAACATTGAACAAATAATGCCATCTATCGAGTAACAAAACTTCGTTCCAAAATTCTTATCATATAAATTGTGACCATTCCTACATTGCGTATACGACGCGCCAAAAAAAAAATGCCAACACAAAGTACAGAATGAAATTTTATGTTTTACGCAATCAAATCCCGTTTTGGTAGAAGCCACAATGTGATGACTCATCTTTTCTATTCTTTTGTTCATCAAAAGCGTGAGAGAATATCCTCTAAACGTAAAAACGTAAAAACATTCGCTTCGTTTTTTTGTCTGTCTTTGTTTGTGTGTGAGCGTGCTGTGTTTGAGTGTTCGAATCGAAACGATAAAATTCTTGGTGTGTTCATCATCTTTCATGATGAAATCTTAGATTTTAAAATTTTAGGAAAATAATTTTATTTAAATTAATTAAAGTTTTTTTTAATCAATTTTTCAATTAACAAAAATTACTTATCAAACAAAGAAGTATTAGTTAATTTTAAAAGTATTACTTAAATCGTTCGAATCATCATCACTCGAATCATCATCAAATCATCATCATCATCATTGTAATCTTAATCTGAATCAAATCGATGACCGCGTAAATAATCATCATCATCATTATCATTCATAAATAATTCGTCATTGTCAAAAGTTATCATTCATTCATTCATTCATTCATTCAGTAACTAAATAACTCACACACATTGATAAAATTCATAATTTTGTCACATTGAATCATTTCATTTGTACATTGAGTCAGTATTTTTGTTTTGTTGTTTCAATTGAAAATTTGACTAACTTTTGACTTTGATTCAGATATTTAGGTATCACAAGAATCGTGTTTTGTGGTCAAATTTTTGATTCGAAATTTTTTTCCAATTCTACTTAATTAAATCCGTCCTTGTTTTTTTTTTGATCATTCGTCAACACATTCATAATCATGAAACTTGAAGAATTACAAAGTACAAATGACTATAGTCAATCATCATTATCGTCATCGTCGAATCTTCGATTAAGAATATCGGTTTCATCACATCAAGGTGGACGTAAATATATGGAAGATGAATATATTATTATTCATTATCAGCCGAAAAATCTAAATCACCAAGAAACAAAATCATCAGTGAACAACAATGATGATAATTTATTTCAAAAATCATTTGTATTTTTTGGTATATTTGATGGACATGGTGGTGATATGGCAGCACGTTATACCCGTCAAAATCTTTGTCATAATATTGTACGACAAAGGAAATTTTGGTCAAATGATGATGATCAAATTTGTTTAGCAATTCATAAAGGTTTTGTTCGAACGCAAAAAGAAATGTTACGGGAAGTTGGTAAGTTTTTTTCGTTTGATTTCTCATGGATAAAATTGATGAAATTTCTTTTTTCTTCAAAAAGAAAAATGGCCACGAACAACAACTGGTCTTCCATCAACATCAGGTACAACAGCATCAATATTATTCATTATGAATGGAAAATATTATACTGGTCATGTTGGTGATTCACGTATTGTTCTCGGGCGTAAAATAAAAAATTCTCAACAATGGCAAGCATATCCAATGACCAGAGATCATAAACCAGAATCACCACGTGAACGTAAACGTATTGAAGCTACTGGTGGACAAGTAATGAATAAATCTGGTATTGGTCGTGTTGTTTGGAATCGTCCACGACGAATAATACGTTCAGATGATTCAACCATACAGATTGTATATGATATGATACCATTTTTATCGGTTGCAAGATCATTAGGTGATCTTTGGTCATTAAATCGTCGATTAAATAAATTTATTGTATCACCTGAACCAGATGTAAAATGTATACCTATTGATACAATGAATGATAAATGTTTAATATTAGCATCGGATGGTCTTTGGAATATGATTAATCATAGACAGGCGATAAAAGTTGTACAAGATTTTGAAGAAATTAATTTTTCATCATCATCATTCGATCGTGATTCTAATGATGATGATCATGATGAAAATCAAATTATTCATGATCCAGGACGATCACATTCATTAGAATTATTTGCTGCTTGTATTGATCGTTGGATGCAAGGACGTTCGGATAATACAACCGTTTTGGTTGTTATGTTGAATCAAATTATTGAACAACAACAACAACAACAGGGTAATCATCATCAACAGCAACAAATATTTGATCAATATGAATTTGATTTAAATTCTGAAGATTCATTTGGATCATCATCATCATCATCGACAACATTATCACCATCATCATCATCATCATTAATAACATTAATGATTGGTGATACTATACATTCATTGGATCGTTTTGATCGTCAACAAACGGATGAAAATTTTTTGGGTTAGTAAATTGGATTGATTTTTTTTTCTTGAAACTAATTTTATTCCTTTTTTCAAAAACAAATAGAAATAAAACCAAAAGATGATGAAGAAATTGAATTGATTGTTGATCAAATATTGAATCGATTGGCCAATGATGATGATATTGATAATAATTTACCGTCCATTAATAATGAATTATTTTCCGAGCTTATTGATGATGAACAAATGTCTTCAATCAAAGTAACAACAATACAATCAGATTATAATAATAATAATAATAAACCAATAGTATCGATATGTGAATTGAATAATCATTCATCACCATCATTATCGATAATCAAAGATCAACAACAAATATCAAATGTTTATTGTCGTATTAATTTTAATTATTCATTCAATCATTATTCATCATCATTATCATCATACCATAAATCGATACAACAAGGCCAATCATCAACAACAACAATAATGAATAATGGAAAAATGTTGGCCAATAAAATGATCTCATCATCATCATCAATGAATGATTTGGTTGTGTCTAGAATTAATCTAATTAATTCGATTGAAAATTTATCTTCAACAATAAATCGTAATGTTCATTATGATCAAAAATCAGATTCAACAAATCTTGATCATCATGAATCATTGGCAACAAAATCAATAAAACGAAAAATATCTTCCAGTTTATCATTGGATATTCCAAAAAATTTATTATCATCATCATCATTGTCTTCCATTATCAATAATAATGATCATCAACAAAGTGATAATATTATAGATCTCAATAATAAAATTGATAATGGACAAATAATTGATAATCAACGTATTAAACGTCATTGTGTTCAACAAAATTCTAATAATGATGATGATGATGATGATCAATTAAACAAAATTGAATCACAAAATGAACAAAACGAAAGAAAATTGCTACTTAAATCTAATCAAATTGATCATATTGATGATGAAGAGGAAGACGACGATGATGATGATGAAGAATTCAATTTGTTTGCTGATCATCATCATCGAACATCATCAGGACATTTAATTCATTTAAATCCTCATCACCACCACCACCACCATCATCAACAACCATTAATGGCATCGACCAACGAATAAGTCAGGTGATTGCGAAAAAAAAACAAAATTCCCTCTTACCATAATTTGTTTGGTTGGTTTTTTTCGGAAAATTTTCCTAAATTTTCTCTTCTTTTTTTAATTCATCAATTTCTATATGTATTTTTTCGTTCGTTTGTTTGTTTATTTTTTTCGAAAATCTAATTACATAATCAATTTTAGGGGTATTACTACTATGCTATTTCTACTTAAAAAATAATGAATTGAAATTTTTTCTAAATTAAAAAAAATGAAAATAAAAATAAAAATATTTTTATCAATTTTAATTAATTTCAAATTTTGTTTTTGCTTTTTTACAAGTCAAATTTAGTTAGTTAGTTTATCGTGATATTTATGTTTCTAAATAAAAAACAAAATTATTCAATTAATTTTGTTCAAGGGTTGAAAGGACATTTTTTTGAAAAAAAAGGAGAAAAGATAAAACAGGTTTTTCCCATTCGAATCGATTCCTGATGCAAGAATCTGTATTTTTCTATATCTAAAAGGTTTTCTTCTCCGTTTAGTTTCGTTTATTGGTCACCACCACCATGGTTAATCATTTATTCGAAACTGAATTTATAAATAATTTTTCTTCATAATCATCGATTGATCGTACTGTAAATGAATGAATGAATGAATGGTTAGCAACATTTTTTTCTTTCATTTAAATACCTGTTGAAATCATATCTTCAATCACATATATCGATGTCGTAAATTTTTGTTGTTTTTGTTGTTGTTTTGTTTAGCAAACATTCGAAATCATCAACATGGCCATGATCGATGTAAGTTTTAATCATCATTTTTTTCTGCCATTCAAAATTCATTCATCATTCTGATCAGATTCATCAAGAAATATCATTTTTTTTTGATCGATCAAAATTGTTGAACTAAAAAAAATGATTATGAAACATTTAATGAGAATCATTAATCCTTCAGTGATCATCGTTATAGTTTTTACGGTCGTTATTTCGATATCATCGATGGTTGAATCATCACAATATCTTTTATCAAAAAAATCTGGTTGTTCGGAAAAAGATCAACGACGTATTGATGAAATTGCATCAAGATTTTATGCACCCGGACCGAATGCACCATATTTTCCAACAAACTATCAAGAATTGAGACCATTTTGTCGTGAAATACGTAATGTATCGAAAACAATTGAAACATTTATGCTACGATGTTTTACAAAAGAAGTTGTACAATATGCAAAAATTATGTTCTATACGGTTAATCGTCAAATGCGTAATTATTGTTCGAAACGTACAAAACGTTTAACAAAATTATTAAAAATTGCGCCATGTATTAATCGTCATTTAAGAACGGAAACAATTTGTATTGATAATTGGTTAAGGGATTTTTCCCGTATACAGGATCTAGAAAATGATAAAGATAAAATTATACATGGTTGTTGGTATGTTATCATTCTTTTGTTGATGTTGTTTTTTTTAATCACATCTACCTACCTTTATCAATAACAGCCTTACAGCCGATGTTTATATTTGTTTTGATGATTTGATTGAAAAATATGAATGTAGTAGAAAAAATCGTTTTGAAATAATGGATTTTTTAACAAATATTTCAAGCGATTTACAAACAGTTTGTGGTGAATATACACATCAAACCGATGCTTGTGATACAAANAAAATTAAAATTTCATGCAAATTCAACTTCAACGAATGGCGGAAAAAATTCATTGGATCGTATTACACGACGGCAGAATGCATTACGTTTTAAAACACCAATGTTTGTTTTGATTGATTTATTGGATTCATTTGCTGATCCGGATTCAATTATTGGATAATCACGAATGATAAAACTTTAAACTTTTAATTAAAAAATTTCTGTTTTTCGAATCAAAAAAAACCAAAAAGTTCATCAACCATGGACGATCGAAAACATTCGAATCGAATCTTATCTTGTTGTTGTTGTTGTTGTTTGATGAATGAATTTTACCAAAAATAGACAAAAAACTTTGTTTGTTTTCGTTTGCCACTAATTTTAGATTTATTTGCTGATGATGATAATGATGATAGTTTGCATAACTTTTTCTGTTCGATATTTTTTTTGGTTTTTTCCACATTTTCATTGGGAAAAATTATTATCAACCACCATCATTGATTGAATTGATAAACAAACAAACAACCAAATGACGATGATGGATAGATATTTTCAGATTTGGATTTTGAGCTTGAACAAATTACTTTTCTTTGTGTTGTTGTTGTTGACTTGATTTTTACTGAATCTTGGTTTTTTTTCTTATTGAATTTGTTTTCTTCTTGAATTATTTTTGGTTTTGGTTTTTGTTTTTTGTCAAATCGTTCGATTCGATTGATATTTGTTGTTGTTGTTGGTGATTTGATACAATCGATATTTTTTTTCGAATCTTCCCAAATTATAAATACGATATTCGAATTCGAATCCATAATCATTTTGTGAATTTGATTTGAAACTAAACGACAATCGATCGAAAAAACTATGGCACCAAAAATTGGTATCGTCGGATGGTAAGATTTTTTTTCTTTTGTTTGGTGAAATAATAGTTAAATTCTTTGTTTTTTTCCATTGTTTGTTATCAGTGGCCTTATTGGTCGAAGTTGGTCATTAATTTTCATTGCACATGGTTTTGATGTACATCTTTTCGATGTTAATGTGGAACAAATTGATCAAGCCGTAAAATGGATTGAAGAACATTTAAAAAAATTAGAACATGATAAATGTTTACGTGGAAATCTTTCCGCTTCAGAACAGCTATCACATGTTCATAAAGCGAAAACATTGTTGGAATGTGTTGATGGTGCTGTTCATATCCAAGAATGTGTATTCGAAGATTTGGATTTAAAACGTAAAGTTTTTCATGACGTTGATCAAATTTGTTCGGATAATGTTGTTATTTGTAGTTCAACAAGTTGTTTTTTACCATCCAAATTATTTGATGGTTTAAAACATAATAGCCAGATGATTGTTGGACATCCAGTTAATCCACCTTATTTTGTACCATTAGTTGAAATTGTACCATCAAAATGGACAAGCCAACCGGTTATTGATCGTACACGTGCATTATTCGATAAAATTGGTCAAAAACCAATAACATTGAAAAAAGAAATTGAAGGTTTTATTGTTAATCGTATACAATATGCCATACTGAATGAATGTTATCGTCTAATTGATTCGGATGTAATCACTGTCAATGATGTGGATAAAGTAATGTCGCATGGTCTTGGTATGCGTTATGCATTTATGGGACCATGGGAAACTGCTCATTTAAATGCTAATGGTATGCGAGAATATTTTGAAAAATATTCACAAGGAATTTATGATGTAAGTCGAACATTTGGACCTGTTCCAATGATGAAAGGAACGACAGCCGATTTGATTGTCAAAGAAATGGAACAAACAATTCCCGTTGATCGTTTGGAACAACGTCGAAAATGGCGTGATGAACGTTTAATTGAATTATCATCGATCAAACAAAAAGCAAACAAATAATTTTGTTTGGGAAAAATGAAATAAAATTTTTATTCAATCAATTGAAGAAAAAAATCGGTTAATTCAAATTCAAATTAATTAAAATTAAATAAACATTGAATGTTTTATGAAAATTGATAATGATGATCATGATTATTCTAAATGTTATGTTCTTCGATTTGTTGTTGTTGTTGATCGGTTGGTTTTTGACCATCATCGATTGTTTGTGATTTATTTGATTGTTGTTGTTGTGAATCAGAAATTTCATTAGAATTTTCAATCATATCGGCTTGTTGCATTAAATCACTAATATTTTGTTCAAGATCATTAATACGATGTCCCATTTCATCCATACGATGTACAATTTCATCGCTCATAGATTGAAATTTATCCTGCATTGTTTGCAATAATAATTGTACCTTTTTTTAAAAAAAGAAAGAAACATATCAAAATTTCAAAATCAAATTCAAATTATTCATTCAATTTACCGATTTAAAACTATCGTTTAGATTTTTATCAACTACAGATGCATTACTATTATCTGCGTTCGATTTATTATCTTCTTTGCCATCCATTTTTGTTGTTGTTTTTGAAGGAAAAATTTGAATTTTAAAATTCAAAAATGAAAATTAATTCAATTCGAAT